AATAATCTCTCACAATTATCTCAATATCTGTGTGTCTTAATGGACAGGGATACACTGTTCAGTAAGTATTTTGGTTTTTTATTTCATTTTATGCAGCAATGACTGTTTGACATTGAATCAATCAGTTTCCAAAAACATAAAAAGGAGCAACTAACCTAGGGACTTCTTACAGAAATTTTACTTCTTTCATGCTTACATAGTGCCTGTGGTACATAAATCGTACGTGTCAGTATTTTGGTAATGTAGAGAATGATCAACGACAATAACAGAAAACTCTGGGTCGAGAAAAACAAACTGCCTTCTACTCAAGTGCCCTGTTGTAGTTTCTCTCTTTACTTCCCATACAGCAAGAAAAACAAACCAAACTGGAGAAACATTAAAATAGGATTAGGTCTGCTGCTCTACATCCTTCCTTAAAATCTGTACTCTTTTGTTCTGCAATCATATAACTTAGCAGCAGTTGAAACTAAAGTTTCTTGAGGTCTTCACAGTCTTGGCAGAACTATATAAAGAAATAATAATAATAAAAAATCTTTTTAAAACTGGTAAGTGGGATTCCTTAAAATTAACTGAATGGAATTGTTGCTGATTTCCTTACTAGAAGGAAGCACCCTATTTCTGCCTTTCTGAACAGTTTATAGACTTGTATATGACAACAGAATCCTTGTTCTATAACCAGGAAAAATACATAATGGTTCTATATTTCAAACTGGTGTTTAACATTACAGACAAATATTTTCAATTCCATACTACTTTGCAAGTCATTCCAAGAAATCTGCGTGTCATTTTATAACCGCCTGTAATAGACCACAACAAGGTACTTAATTTGCAAATAGTTCTACAACCACCATTTGCAAGACCTAAAAACAGAGTTAGGTGCCTTTACCACGAAATAAATGGACAATAAAGGGAAAGCTATTCCATTTCTGATAGCCACAGATTATAGGAAGATCCTGCACTTTATTGGTTTTTATTGCCTTTTCACAGATCACAGAATGGATCGAGTTGGAAGGGACTGCCAGTGGTCCAACCTCTCTGCTCAAGCAGGGCCATCCTAAAACACATTGCACAGAATTGTGTCCAGATGGTTCTTGAGTATCTCCAGTGAGGGAGACTCGACAACCTTTCTGGGCAATCTGTTCCAATGCTCAGTCACCCACACAGTAAAGACGTTTTTCCTCATATTCAGTGGAACTTCCTCTGCCCGAGTTTCTGCTCGTTGCCTCTTGTGATATTGCTTGGCACCACCAAGAAGAGCCTGGCTCTGTCCTCTTGGGGTCTTCCCTTCAGATACTTACAGACATCAACAAGTGCCCCTCACAGTCACCTCCTCTCCAGGTTGAACATGCCCACCTCCCTCAGCCTTTTCCTCCTAAAAAAGATGCTTCAGTCCCCTAATCATCTTTGCAGTCCTTCGTTGGACTTGCTTCAAGAGCTCTATATCGCCCTTGTACTGAGGCTGTGTCCAGTTCTGTGTCACAGCACTCCAGGTGTAGTCTCACCAGTATTGAATAGAGGGGCAGGGTCACCCCCCTCAACCTCCTGGCAATGCTCTCTCTGATGCATCTCAGGATACCACTGGCCTTCTTGGCCACTAAGGCATGTGTACTGAACACTAACACTTATGAATAAAGAAATCAATGCACTGTTCCACTCATATGGTTCTCAGCAAAAACGAAGTTCTCCAAAATATATAGCATGATTTCCTCTTGTCTGGAAGGTAATTTCCAGACTTCTCCATTCAAGATTTGTTTTCCTTCAAAATTTTCTTACGGGTGAATCTGTCCTGGAAAGCAGTCAATCTTTTATATACAGAAAATCAAAAGCAGTTTCCAGTTGGACATTCATTCTTGGTCTAGACTCTCACAGTATTCATCCTAACAAGTGAAAGTTTAGCCTGGAATGTTTCCTGATTTACTCTAGTAACAGAAAAAAAGGTCCAATATTTTGTCTATGGTAAGGCCTTGAAATGTCACCATTTTGTAGACGCCTTTCCTGCTCTTTTTCCTCCTCACACTGTGAACTTCTAACATCTAGAAGCTAAAAAATTTATTTATATTCATAGTTCTTTGAGACCCAATTATTAAAAACTTGTCATAGTGCAGGAACCTAACAAAACACAGTAGTATCTGTAGTGTACTCAACAACGTCATAGACAAAAAAACTGCCAAGTTTGGCTGTAAAGATATGGACACATCTGCAAAAATGGTGCGATCTGCGCTGCAGAAATGATTTGCAGCAGTTAATGTGGGTTTTGTGAAACAATCAATCATACAAAACAAGTATGGATAGACACTTCTGTTCCTGGAATTACCCTGACTTCACTTTGTGTTGAACTGTGAGTAAACTCTGATTTCCTTCTCTAGATGCCATGTTGCAAGAGGTCAAAATGCTAAGTTGGCTCTGTGATAGAACAATTGCAGAAAGATTCAAAGAACATACGAAAGTTATATGTGCATCTTTTGCAGTCCAGTCACATACATGCCCCAGGGATGAGTAAGGCCTAAGCAAACCACAGATCTAACTCACTCTACTCTGTTTTACATTTGATTAAATCTGTTAATTCCTGTTCATATCTATGATATATATTCCTACAGCAGCTATGAGAGGTACAGAGGCACTCTTTTCCATAAAGTCATAACTAGATGGAGTGTATTCCACAATGTTACTGTTGCAAACTGAGCAAGGTGAAGTTTGCAAAACAGGAGTTTTGCTATAATAGAATTATTTTCCAGGCTAATGCCTTTAGCACTGAACTATTCTGTGTCTTGGAAAGCAGCATAGCAAGCCATTTACTTATAGACATTCAAAATTTTAATATTGCCAAATTTTCCTCATAATGCCCTGTTACTTTGCATACTTCTTTCTTCCTCTGACGTTACCCCTTCATACAAATTCACTCTCGCAACATGTTCACGAATTCTCATATATTGCCATTTTCAGATTATATCCATAAATCTGTTCCTGGGGCCAAATGTATTCCAGCAGTTGCAAAAGTCATATAAATCATTGGATACAATGCTCAACCTTTATATATCATTGGTTTTTAAATGAAATTGAAATTTAAATTGTAATTTCACATCTAATAGTATATATGCTTTGTTCTTGCATATGTATATGTATCATTTTTAAAATAGCATTTGATGCTAGTGTTGTCCAAAGTAGCTTTGAGTTACTATTACTTGCTCTAACTCTGGAGCAAAAAATAGGCAGCAAACCTACATATGCCTTACAAGAAATTGATTAAATAATCAATGGTACTAGAAAAGAAATAGATCACATTCTACAGTCACTCAGTCCAGACGCTCAGATGTCTTCTCTGCCTTTTTCAACTGATATGGTGCTAGGCAGAGAGATGAGGGCTGTTGTTTCTCTACAAAACCCAAAACAACAATTTTGGTTTAGAACTGTATCTTTCAAAATGCATGCCCATTTCCTGACCAGAGAATCTCATAAATACTTTTCAAGAAACTATCAAGACAAAGAATACTATTTCAACCTGAGTTTTCACACTGTTTTTGCTTTCCCCTACTCCCTCTCCCCACCTCTCTTTAATTTGCAAAACTTCTAATAGAATATAAAAAAAATGTCTTTTTATGTTCATTTTCAACAATGTAGAAGCTTTACATAAAAAGTGTTCCTATCAGTTAATAAAAGGAAAACCTTATCTTAGGAAGTTAAGAACAGGTCCATGGTGCTGTTAAAAATATCAATCTATCAATCTTCCCATTTTCCTTGGCTAGACTGGGAAGAACTTATGAAAGGTAACATAAGGAACAATCATGGCATTAAAGATAAAAACTTTAAATATTGAAAAAGTTTGCTTATGTCAGACTACCTCTAAGAAAAGAATACATATATACTTAGGGTTATTATTTAGGGTTATTATTTGCCATATATGCACATAGTACAGCTAACTGACTTCAATAGTAATGTCAGTACTGTCTATACTGATTAAAAAAGCTAATAAAATGACATAATTTTTTTTTAATAAACAACCACCTTCAGAGAAAAATAGGAGAAATCTCCTTGTTACCCTAAATTGCTTGGGATGGAAGGATCAAGAAAAAAATTACTGAAATTACACATTTCACAGATTTTCTTCTAAATTCTTTAAAGCTGTTTAATCATCTTCAATTCATGTAAAAAGACACCTAGTAGTTAATTTTTCAGACCATGTAATGCCACATAATATCAAAATACGAGACAGGAGTCTTCAGTCATAAAAGCAGCCTTGCAAACTAAAGAGTGTGATATTTCATGAAGTGTCTTCAAATCCAGTGTCCATTCATCTCCAGGTGACAAAAGGAATTGTTCAGGTCATTTGACTACTAGTATTTCCTCCCGTGAGTATTATCTAGACAGCAGACTTGGCGGTACATTAATATCCTTACCCCTGAACAATGGCTGAAAAAATTCATTTTTTCCCTTTACTGTTCTCAAAAGTTTCTTACTGAAGTAAGAATGCAACTCAGGTGATACATATCTGAAGTGGAAGAAGCCTTCACCTTTTTTGTGATTGTATTTTGTGGGAGAAATTTTGCAGCAATTTAACATCATCTAAAACCCATTCATGCAACTTTTCAAGGTCACTGTTAATTGGGCAAATTTCTGTGTAAATGCTGATCACAAAAGGCTAAGCTACCCAGGGCAGCCCTAAATTGTAAATCAAATGCATTCATAAAGTACTTTCTGTGGAGCGGTAATTATTATAATAACCTGTTGTGTGTGGCACTCCTTGTTTCACTTATTTCTTACTTATTTTCTTCACTCTATTCTGTCATACCCTGTAATCTCCAATTACCTTTTTATGGTCAAAGGTTACAAATGCAATATTCAAGTATTATGTGAAAAAGTTTATAATCAACAGGATCAGGACTGTAGTAAGGTCCATTTGAAAACAACTGTATTTAACTTCGCTGGAGAGAAACCTCTCTTTTACAATAACAGAGTACTTTGAGCTCAATCAAGTAAATTAGTTATGCTTAGAAAGAGCTTACCACGTAAAACAGTGAGTCTTGTGGACACACTTATTTCACCAACACTGTTGGAAGCCACACATTCATAAATAGCTTCATCTCGTGGCGTACGCAGCGGTTGTATTCTGAGAACTGATCCAGATCCATCATCAAACTCTATTACCTATAAAAGGAAACAAAAGCTGTCACAGATGTTGTTACAAATACCTATCCCTCAGTTAATCTACTCATGAACAGCAGCCTGCTGTTATACAAGTCACCAAAGCAGGTTTGCTTTTCAAATATATGTACCAGGACAAATTCCACCTAGAAGGGAAAAAGATGCAATTTTTTTTAAACTTCTTTTTTTAACTTTTTCTGAGAAAGACTTCTTAGTAACTTAAATCAGATTTTTCTAATTCCTATTATTTGAATTAATTTGAAGGAAGAGGACAAAAAAAGACTCCTCTTGTATCATGTTCATTCACAGTATATAACTGCAATATAAATAAAAGGCAAAAGATTAACAGAAAAGACCCATAATGTTGCAGTATGCTTTTAGGATATAAAAGAATGCAGAAGTTTGTAATGTTCTTAAAGTGACCACGTTTCCAAGATGGTGATTGTAAGCCTTTTTGTAACCCTTCTTCTTCCCAAAACCCCTCACTGTACCTTGGAATGTCTAAGAGATAACTGGAAACTCACCTATTGGCTGTTAACCCTTTCTTGTAATTGATTGGTTTGTAACACCTCCCTTCCTCCCAAAAGCCTTATATGCTGCGGGAAACTTGAATAGAGTTTCTCTGCCTACATCCCTGCTGCCTTACTGCCGGCCCCATGGTCCCTCTGGGGGACCATGAGGTGCCGCGGGGTGAAGGGGGGAGGGGGAGGGAGCAGGTTCCCCCTCAGAGCAAGGGATAAAAGGAAAAGCCTCTTGTTCTGGGGTTCCCCCTCCCCATCCACCTCAGCGTTTGTCACCACAAGGTCTTACTGCAGATTCTAATTTCAGAAGCAACTTACAGCTCTCTATAGCTAACTAAGTTGTGAGAATTAGTCCGTGACCAAGAATAAGCAGTGATAATAGTCTTCAAATATACAGTCAAGAGTGAGGAAATGTTCCCCAAATGCTACCTACATCAAGTTCCAGCAAAAAATTTCAAATTCCACATGTGGGAAAAATAATCATGAAAAGGTTCATGAAAAACTGTAGCAGACTGTCCAAGTTTATTGAAGGACGATAAAAAAAAAAGTAGCCCCCAGCATCCCTGGGAAAGCACATGGATCGGATGTCCCACTGAAGTCCTTTCCAGCTGTATTTACTAGGCTTCTATAAAGACAGGTGTCCAGGAAAAAACAATTTGATGTCTTGTATTATTAACTAATCACACTCAAAGAAATATACAAAATATTACTGTGAAAGAGGAAAATAAGTCAAATTAATTGTTCTCTTATTGACGCAGCTGATAATCGCAGACTTTTCTTATTTGCCAAATGTTTCAAGTGTCTTTTATGAATCTCATTTCTACTGTTGTTTTGTTCTTACTTAGAGATTCTACGTCATGAAATAATGGCCCTAATTTGAAGCAGAAGGAATGCTACTTAAAATATTGATGTGTTCTGCAAACTTTATAGTTGATCTGCTCAGTGGTCATAATAAAAATTATAAAACACTTGGCAAGTATCATGTATTTCTTTGAAATATATTCTACCATACTTGGCTATAAAGTTTGTTCAGCAGTCCACTAAAGGCATTTTTAAAACCTTTTAAGGGGGTTTTAATAGTTATATTTAAATACTTTTTATGGAAATAAACTACTGCATTTTTACTGATTCTCTCTAGAAACAGTTACATACATACCATAGGAAATAAATACATTAAATTAATTAACCATGACATAATGCAAAATAAAACACAGTAAACATATACATGTCCAATCTTTCTCTGTTTAGAATTCATTTTGAGTGAAAGTTCTGTGAAGAGAACAGGATAAATTGCATAGAATTTATGGTAAAATTTCTGTGTTAATCCTTCTAGCCAATTACATCTCTGCATATGCTCTGCAAAGTGCAAACAGTCTTTGGCACTAGGAGGTAAGATTTAAGTTCATGATTTTATTTTTTCATGTTGTAGTAAATACACAAGCAAGTAATTGTATTGGTTAATGAACAAATTCAAATGCCTCTAGATATTTTTTTATCAAAAAGTTAATAAAATAAAATAAAAATAAAATTTAGTTTATACAGTAAATGCAATTCTTCTAAATAAATCTAACCTGAAATGCAGGACAAGCAATCTTCACACATACAACTGAAAATTAACACAGAGGACTTCAGCTTCCAATATCTTAGGTCATTTGCTTATAAGATGCATATCACATCTGTTTTATATACAATTAGTAATCTTCTAAGCAGTCATTTTTAAGACAACAGAAGTCTCTTACTTAACATTGAAAATAGTGAAGAGACATAGTGAAAATTATACACTCTTAGTGCCAGTTTTGGTATCTACTTGTAAAAGCATATGCCCATTTTCTGTGTTTTTAATTCATGTTAAAGATTTATCCGCATTTGACAGTAATTATTCCTGCCATTACAAGAGGGAATAATATCTGGGTTTTTATTTCCCCCCAAATAAATAGAATCTTCTGAACAGATTACTTTTACTGTCTCCTTTAACTGAATGATGTGGAGAGAAATAGCTTTCTCTAAGGCTTTTTCCTAATTTACTCTTAAGAATCAAAAGGAAGCAAGTTTTTCCTCTTCAGCAGCAGGAACCACAATGCCCCTTTCATCTCTCTCTGCAACAGCGGTAAGGAGTGGTGGCAGCAGAAGCGGCAGAAGCCTAGGCCTGCTCTGTGCACTTTGTCACAAAAGGAAGTGAGTTGCTCTTTGGAGACAGCAATCACTGCTCAAGGGATTACCCCACCATCTCCTTCATAAGATAGCAAACTGAACAGAGGCACCTCAGAGCTCCTCAGTGAGATCATGTTAGTTTGGAAAGCAGCAGTAGCAGTTTAATGGTGCTATGCATAACCAGTTCAGAAAATAAAAATTTCACAAGACTGCTCCCCCCAAATTATCCCTGATATTCATTCCTATTTTGCTAAGTCACTGATAATAAAGCACACATACTGGGATTAGAAGTGAGGTTGGAATAAAATGTTTTTCAGAGGAACAGAACAATGGACCTAATACCTCAAATCTCTGATTGCTGACTTTCTTTCCCTTTTTGTTCCAGACAATTTTAGGTCTTGGATCTCCTGTGGCTTGGCAGATGAAAGAGGCAACTCCTCCTGAAACCCCTGTCTGGTCAACGGGAGTTCTTGTAAACTTTGGTGGTGCTGAAAAAATCAAAAACATTGAAGAAATTAATCTAAACAATAAGCATAAGCCATATCAAGATTTAAAAATTTAAAAAGAAGGAATGCTTTGTTTTTCTAGTGATAGAATTCACTACAAGAGAAAGCATTAAAAAAACCCTAAAAGGTCAAGAAAGTACTTAGAGATTTTACTAGTGAAATTTATATTAAGACAGAAATCTGACAGAATCAGCATAGCAGGATCACACATTACATTTTATCACCCTTATAAATAAAAAATCCAATTTGACTTCTATTGCAAAATGAGCTCATCAATCAAATGGAATATTATGATTCATTACTTGATACTATGATCCCAGGACGTCATGAAAACAGGATTCTCACTTTTAAAACATTAAAATCAGTGACATTTAGGAGAAAGCATTTGTAAGTAAGTTTTCAGTAGTGGAGGTAAATTACTATGTATTAAGAGTCCACGCAGAAAGGACTTTAACAGAGGAGAGATTTATGCATGGGCACAGTTTCATGTACACCTCCTGCTCACTTCCAAATTCTACTCTGTCAGAAAGAAGAACTGAAGAAAGATCTAACTATTGCAACAACAGTAGAGAAGAGAGAAATAATTTTAAAAGTATGAAAAGACTTTTTAATTTTTATTTATTTGCTTCCCTTTTATTTCTGTTACTACATAATTAAAAGTAATTTATCAGTCTTATGCTGAGACAAATTTTTAAAACTTAGAACAAACTTCAAACTTCTAAAGATTTAGTATCAAAATCTGTAAGAGTATAGATAACCAGATAAAAAAATATTGAAGAATTGCTGCAAATATTTAAACCGTTCTTCTTCTTAGCTGAGTATTTTTCAAAATCCAATACACTTTCAGATGCTGATATAAATTATATGAACTTAGGGACAATAAATGATAAAACATCCAAGTCTTTGCTATATAGTCTTTCTCAGCAGCAGTTGCTCTATAGCCACTGTTGCAATTCATTTTTGGTCTCATCTTCAAATATCAGCAGTCAGCTCCTTTATGTTTACTGCCTCTTCCCTTTTCTTCACTTTCCTCTCTTAGGTACAGGTGTGTACCTGTACTGGGCTAGTTTTCATTTCTAAGTTGCTGCCCTTCAGTTCTGATGTCTAACCCCTTACTCTGCTAAACTGGTCTTTCAACAGGCAATATTTGTCAGCATATTTATTTTAACGACAGAAACCCAGCAGACTACAATTATGCATGCATGCAACACTGTAAGAAATCTTGAGATAATTTAACAATGCCAAGAAAGTATGAGGTAGTTACTATAAAACAAAATAAGTAGGTTTATGTTATGTTGCTGCATTAAATATGAGAGAATGCAGATTGTAATAGGTTTACAAAATTAAATGAGGAGGTTTTTTAACCTATCCCTTATGTAAAAGGTATTTTTTAAAAATGCAATAAAACTATAATGTTCCTGAAAATCTGCAGGGGGTTTTTTTTATAGAAATATTAGGAAAATTCTTTATTTCTCAACTTTTCAGAATGCTCAAGGGTTCTTGAACTATCTACTCTTCTAGTTTTCCTGGTGAAAATATACCTAAATCCAAATGCAAGAGCAAATCTGAGCACAGCAAAACAGTGTGACACAACTGCCATGGAAAAAAATTATGAAAGAACTCTCTGATGTCAAAAATTAACAAAACCATGGCAAACAAAACACACTTAGAGCAAGAAACTATAAATACTTCCCCTAGTAACAGATACTGTGTCTGGACCACAGAAAATACAGAAATGTATTCTGACGAAGAGCATCTGGGTTTTACCAAAACTGCTATCTTTGAACCCCTCTCTACATGTGTATTAACTCAGCACTCTGATATGTAGAGACATGACTGAATCTGATATACTGATATTATGAGGCACAAGTTGTGACTGTGTGCCATCAAGTGAAAAATGACGTGCTGCCATTTTCTTTTCATTTTTTTCTTTTTGACGTTTTTCAAATTCAGTGTTAGAACTCAAACCAGTGAAAGAGAAACACTTAAGTCCAACAGCACACAGTAACTATGAATAATTGCTCATAGGCAGCAAATAGTGCAAACAGCAATAAGTGAAACTAAAAATTTTCCACCAAACAATTCATGTTAGAGGTCCAAACAGTTTTCTGACACTTTTTTCATGAAGAACTGGGCCAAACTTGGTAAAGGATTATAACTGCCATGACTCCTTAGAAAAATCACTAGTTTCTGCAGAGATATATCTATATACTGGAGTTGCATAAATAGGGCTGATAACCTAACATGGCTCATGCTACCTGAACAACAATATTTTTTCAGTCCTACATTAATTTTTGCTGAGTCAACAATTAGTAAAGCTGTTGTTCCTTACCTAACAAGTGTTTTAAAAAAGGACTACAAAGCACTAGGGGCAAAAGATAAGTGCAGTTGTACATAATGATGTAATTTCTAATTTGTAGACATATTTCAAGATAAACAAGGTTTTAAGGTTGTATATAAAGACCACATTATTGTATGTGGAGACTGATATTGTCTACATCATTAAAAAAGTTTCAAAATCCAGTGTGGAATTGAACTATGTGTTTGTGTTTCACTTAGATCCTAACCTAGCTGAAAAAAATTAGGTATGCAGCTGGTCAAAATTTCTTTTTACATAAGTAAGAAACTCCTGTGGAAACACTGCCATTTCGAAAACCAGTTAAATTCTCCACTTCAGGCTCGGCAGCACCACCAGAAAGATAAAAATGTCTGCACGTTTAAGCTGTGAGGGTAAATTAATTTATGGCCAAGAGATGGTCAGACTTTGGTCTGATAGTGACCGGCCAGCCAGCCATGAAGAAAGACAGGTATGCAGTCCATCTATTCATTCCTCAATCAACATGTTCATCTTTTTACACACAGAGATCACCATCAGTCTAAGGGTATATGAAATCATAACCCAGCAGAACCAAAAAGGAAAAGTATTATTTGTTTCCTTTATCTTTATAAAGGTTGTTAATTAAGGTTTGACATAAATTATCTCCACAATTAATGTTGTCAGTTTCTTGACATTGATTCTGACCTAAGCTGCTAGGTACTCTGATAGCAAACACAATTAAACTGCACACACAGTTGTGCTTATTAACATGAGGGCAATTTTGATTGAGAACTGACAACTAACTATTTTCAATCTCCCTTAACAACAGCAGTGCACAGTCCAAGAAAAACTCTCCACAGCACACTTCATTAAGCACAGCAACAATCTATATGGGAACCTTCCGGTGCAATTAAATCTGCCAAAAAAATAAGATGTAATATGTTACCAATATGGTACACAGTCTTCCAGCACTTTTGAAACTCCACTTGGTAACATCTCAGTAAAGCTGCAGTTAAAATAATAGAAGTATAATTAAAATAAAGAAGTGAAATTAATTTAAAATCTGTGCCTATTTCTGGACTTGCATTCTCTTGTGGGCATCATCAAAATTGCAGCATTATTGGCTATGAAATGCAAAACACCCAAGTTTTATTTGTTTCGGCTTGTTTATATATCTCAGATATTCACACCAATATTGAATGTAGATACATTCAGTATTGAATTTAGATACCTTGCTTTGTTAAGGAGAAAGAAGTAGTGTAAGATACCCACAGCTCGGACTTAGAAAGAGTACCATAAGCTTTATCATCCAAGAATCTGAGGGCTCCCACCCTCTGCTACTTGGAAGGCACTTCTTATTGGGATTCCTGAGAAGCTCAAGTGACAACTACTGAACTACTGCAAATTACACTCTAATATATGGAGGAAAATTAAACTTATTGCTAGCTCATCTTAAATACACTGATCTTTTATTTAGTTGTTTTAAGGAGTTTAAAACCATAGAAGTTAGGTAGGCTACTGCTTCAACAGTCAAGCTGTCCCCTCAGGGAGTACAGGAACTTCTCAGATGGACATACTTTAACACTATCCAGAAAGAAGCAGAGTTTTTTTGCACATCAAGACTCCATAAAATATATTTATAGCAAGACACTAAAATAATTCATTTGGGTAGGAATATTTGAATAGCTTGGCACAAACATGAGATATCTCTTTCTTCTCTTCTGCACCTCTACATTGCCTTTTTAAAGTTTAAATAGAATTCCAAAGTAATGAATGGAATTAACTAACATTTCAGCATGTTATGGAATTATCTGTTTTCAATTTGCCATTCTGTTCTCTGTGCTCTGTTTTAAGGATCTGTACTACTTTTCCTCTACACTCAAATAAAATGTCTGACAAAATACTTTTGAAATTCCAATTTCAGTCCCCTTCTTTCCATAGCTCCTAAGAACTACTCTCATGGACATACTCCTCTCATGAAAAGATGAATATGAGGATAGGACTTCATCTTCTTTAAAGATAATGTGAAAGCTAACGGGATTTCTGCAGTGCCAGTACAGTAAGCTCAGCATGTGGACTTATGATGGACAAGATATATAATGTAGACCTTAAAACATTTGTTTCTAGACTCTCTACTTGGAGTGAATGGAATTCCTGCTATATCATAATTCAACTTCATCATATGCTTGAAACATGAAAAAGTTTTCTAAGTCAGAAAAAAAATTGCCAAAAATTATTCTATTTTTCTATTGCATCCTTTGTAAACATTCATAGCAAAGGTAAATAAAGTAACAAAGATTTCAGAAAAAATTAAAACTGCTAGACTTTCAAATGCCTCATTTGTAAATTATCACATACTGACATTTTAGGAGACTCCTTTAAAAGTAAAGTAACCATTTTGGTTGTAAAGACTTGTTTTGTAGCAATAAAAGTTGGAAGATGATAATCACAGTTGAAACATTTTCAGCTAAGATTCAGCAATGAAGGGTGAAGGCAGAGTAATCAATGTGGTCTGGCAGGTGCCCATGCACTTTGAAATACTTCGCACATACCATTAAAATAATAATTTTCACTTAATGAAGAGCCCTTAGATTTTACAGGTCTAGCGACATCAAGTTTCAGTGATGGGGATCTGAGTTTCAGGGATATGTGACTGGACTAGTTC